CGTAAGGAGGAGGAGCGAGGGAACAGCTCAGCGACGTATGACGTAGTTGGGACGTGGTGACGTCTCTCATGCGCGGACTCAAAATGGCGGATAGCCAACAGGAGACCCGGCATCTAGTGCCGGTAGCCGTTTAGCACGTAGCTACATTAGCTCAAAGCTATATGCTATATATGTGTGTGTGTGAGTGGATTAGTAAAAGAGAAGGGAAAGGAACAAAACAAAATGAAATAAAACAAAAGATTAAGATCCTCTGCGCCGCGCGGGAGTACGGAAGATTGCTCTCTCAGCCAGGGGAGCAAGAACCGCGACTCTTTGTCTCAGCCGGCGGTTCTGACCTCCTGAACTGATGAGAAGCAACTTCGACCTCACTGCGGCTGTCTCGACACGAATCACGGTAGCATAGAATACAGGGTAACTTCTACACAACACTAGCAATTTCAGGGATCGCCAGTGTCGGTGATCATAAAGCATACACCACGTTATAAAAACGAACAGTACTTTAAGCACACAAACAAGATAAAATAAACACAAATGAAACTCTCTCTAACTCTGCCCAGAATCTATTTCGCCTTACGGTACGATGCAATCGTGGTGATTGAGGGGGGTTCTTCTGAGCTTCCGTGGGCTTGGGCAGCGCGGCTGCGGGCCGCGGGAGGTGTTCTCACGGTAGGAGAGAATCACTGTCGTCTGGATAAGGGATTTCCGCGTCCTTATGTCCAGAGCAAACGAGGCGCTTGGTGGAGAGTGGAAGTTCTCTCTCTCTCTTTCTGAAGAAGTCTTGCTTCTTCACTTCTGCAGGAATAAAAGGGTTCGCTTCGTGGATACGAACAAAGATAAAATAGACAGTTTGGTGAATTCAGCCAGCGAATATAAACTGTTAAACCTAGGATTTGGTTGAAAAGGGAAACAACGTTGGTGTGCTCCCTAGCTCGACGGAGGTCGAAGGGAAAAAGCATTGAGGTGGGGGTTGCAGGTAGTTTTGTAGAAAGGGTGGCTGAACCACAGGGGTCCTGGGGTGTCTTGGCTCTCGGCCAATTAGATTGCAGCGGTGCTTTCAGGTAACTTCAGGAACGCATAGTTTTTGGGGGGAGGAAACTCACACCCTAATGTGAATTTCTTCAGAGCTGGGGGTTTGGTGCTCAAACTACAATCAGGATGAAACCTTTGCTTGCAAAAGGGAAGGCCTGACTCTTTGTTCCACAGCACATGTCGAAGCCATATAGTCAGATCCCAACAGAACATATGCAACTGGTTCTTGTGAGTTTGTTCTTGTCATTGTGTTAATTACATTGATTCTGACTTGTCCGTTAATGACGAAGCATCCCGTCATCGCGGGGTTATTTCGGACATTTGATTCTCTGTTTGAATCAGTAGGGAACAGCTAACAGCTGTTGTTTCCCCGCTAAGCTACTTAGCTTAGCCTCCCTGAAGTGCGGGGCCTCAGCTGTTTTTTGGTATTGTTCCGGGTTCAAAAGGTCACAGCCCGTTATCTGTTACGTGAGCGCAGTCCACCCAAAACATTATATTTCCCACAGTTTAAGCTTCTGCATTTTCCAAATGCACTAGTATTATTCAAACGTATTGTTCGGTTGGTAAGCCTCGTACCGAACGGTTTAATACGAATATGTGTATTGTTGTATTGTATTGTAGGACAGCACAGTAGGACAGCACAGAAGGCCCAGGTATAAAATGCATGGCCCTCCACTGGTTTTGAGTATGGTCTTTTTATTGGTTTATTTGATAAGGGACAGTGCACATTAATAAAAACATTGCTGTAAATGCGCCAGTTAGCCAAGAGGCTATTTTTCATCTGTTGTCCCAAGAGGCAGATGCTACATTGACACAGGAAAATAACAAAATGTGTTCATAAAAAAGGCCCCATTACTTTAATACAACATTATCATAGCCATTCTGAATGTGCTGTGTTAGGACAACACAAAAGAGAGTTATTATTATTACTAATTATTATTAAAAATTTTGACTTGCTATTTTGGAAGTTTTCAAATTTGAAAGCAAGGAAAACCTTATTGGTGTTTTCTATGCAAAAAAAATATATTCTTTTACTGATTTTGGTATTCTATTTCATTAAGTAAACTATAGCCCCTGAACAGGGTACTGCAAGACTAATCTCAATAAACAGATTGTGTGTTTATATGCAGCAAGCAAGGGAACAAGATTTCGGCATGGGGAGCATTCTGGTTTCCATTTGTAGCCAGAGTAGTAGAGACCAGTCATGTTTGAGCAGGTTTTGGTTTAGTGCAGGTAAACAGTCCGTGTGGAGGCTGAAATACAATCTTGGAATCCACTGACGAATATTTAGCTTTTGATTGCTTTGAAATTAGCTGATAAACTGGCTACATGGGAAACCATCCGGTCATTCATGTTGTTTCTTAACTCAAACTCCAGTCTAGCGTCACAATTTGCTAATCAAACTGTAAACAATGAGCGCACAGAGTCTCGGCCCTGATAACCATTGGCTACACCGGAACCCCAGAAATAGCCCCTTCCCCTCTGGAATCTGAGATTGCTGCAGGACAGTTTTAAAAATATTTCTAAACAAAATGATGGTGGTCATACTGAAAAGTGCCTATTAAGTGAGTATTTTTGCCAGTATATTAGCTAAAACTAATGAAACTAATGCACCACATTAATACCAGTGAGGGTTTGGTAAATATTACAAACACTCAAAATAACTCAAAAACAATACAATTCAACAGAAGCACAAACTACAGCCTCCAAAAATGACCATAACAATGAATGAACACATCTCCAGAACAATTTCTAATAAATTTGCTATGTGTACCAAATAAACTGGCAACTGAATATTGAATTTTACTGAATGCAGAAACATAAATACCCAACTTCAAATCTTTGAAATGAAAACGAAAACTGACATACCTAAGCTGTCCTGGTGACAATCGGGCAGGAATCTGCTTAGTAAATTCTATTTGAATCTTTCAATTCAATTTTGATAGCCTGGGCCTCAAGGACCCATCAACACCACTGTAATTCCTCCTCTGGGAACCATGAATATCCACAGCAAACATTATAATAATACAGCATTAGTTTTTGAGCGATCACGTCATTGGCCAAAATATTGGTCACTGTGAAAGAAATAGCCGGAGGGGTCACCAATTTATTAGCAATTGTGCTCTGGGACCATGAATAGTTGTTCCACCAGGCTTTGGCCCCACTAGCTTTGCAAAACTTCCTGAAGAATCAGTTTTGGTTAGCAAAATTCTGTTGAGCATCTTTTCCCTGGAATAGAAGGCTTGTATGCTGCATTCCAAATCTAAATATAGATCAGGAAAGACAACTTTCAACACAGAGCTATCAACCATTTGCCAATGTATTCTACATTGGGTCTTTTTTCTTGAAAGCCACAGCCTTCCTCTGTTGAAAATTAGGCTTGTTTTTCTTTTGATTCCACTGGCACATCAAAATATCCCTGAAAGTTGTTCGGAAGGTCTTGTTGCAAAGGGCATAGCATATGGGGTTGATTGTGCTGTTAACATAACACAACCAGTAGCCCAGTGCCCAAAGAGTTCCTGGAATACAGTCCTGACAAAAAGTGTTGACCAACACCATGATATTGTATGGTAACCATGTTGTGATGAAGACAAAGAGGATGGCACTGAGCGTCCGTGCTGCTTTCTTCTCATTTGCCTTTTTTTCATTCTTGCGCTTGTTGATCTCGGTCTTGGCCTTAGAGGCGAAGCGTTTGGCCATAGCTGCATCTTTAATGGTTATGGCTGTGGGAGATTGGTCAGCAGGCAATGAGGTGACAGGGTTTGATTGTGACCTTTTTCGACTTTTGTTGGATGGTTGTTTATCTTTGTTTTTCACCTTTCTAGATTTCTTACCATCTAGATAGACAGACATACAGACAGACAGATAGATAGACATTATTATACATTATGTATATTTATATTATTTTTATATATATCATGCTAATAAGACCACTTAGTAGCGTTATGTCCAACCTGTTGGAGGCCTTGATGGGTCGGCACCATCACCTTCGTCCTCTGAACCTGACTGGTCCCCAACTTCATTGTTGTTCAAGCTGTCACAGCTGCTCTGCTCTGCTTCACCAACTGTAGTTGTCGTGGTGTTGATGGACCTCTTGGATGCATGGCGACCTGGCAGCAGTAATGAAAACTGAAAGCAGAATGCGCCACACCTCGCCTTGCTTCCTGTTCCTCCAGGTATGCTGGCATTGTCCTTGTTGTTCTTCTCTGAAGCCAGCTGATTTAGTTCATAACTGCTGCAGCTCTGAGAACTTATGGCTGATGAATCCTTCTGGCTGTTAGTTGCACCTTCTCCACCAGCTCTTCCTCTACCACTCCCTTGATTCTGAGCCTGGCTTTGGCTGTTGCCTGACCCAGATCCCTTGAGACCTTGTATATCTTTAGCACGCTTCTCTGTCTCCTGATAGATCTTCCAAAACAGGAATGACATAATAGTTACCGGCAAGTAGAATGCAGCAACAGCAGTGGAGAATGTAATGATGGGCTCGGACAGGAACTGGATGTAGCACTCATTGGGCTGGACTGTCCGCTCACCCACAATGTACTGCCAGAACAGGATGGCTGGGGCCCAAAGAATGAAAGAGATTGACCAGGCTAATCCAATCATGGTCATGGCTCGCTTGGTTGTACGCTTGGCCCGGTATGTCAGAGGTCTGGTAACAGAAAAATACCTAAGACAACACAGAAATAAATTAGGCAACTGCACATATACAGACGAACTTGCAACTGTCTCACTCCCAACTTGTCAAACCCCAACTTTTGGTCAGTGGCCCTTGGCTTCCGACGCACTAAGGCACCCTTTCGTGTCTGTATGAGACGGACCAGGCTTTCAATTAACTCCAATGTAAACCCGTCCGAGTCAGTATTAGATGGTGAGAGCAACTGATGTAGTATAATGAGTGAGAAAGTCTGCTTCAGGAGATGGTTGGGTCAAACCAACATAGACTTGTGACACCAAGTCAAGGTTGACTTATTTAACCTTACATTTGTTACATAACTTACGTACTTAACCAACGCCGAATACGTAAGTGACATAACAAGCGTACTTATTTTATGTAACCAACATACTTATTTGACCCCATTTTTTCTGAAGCCTAACCAGTAGTTTTGTTACCTTAACTTACCCAAGTAAACCTTAAAACTAAGTAAACCTACGTTGGAAGTTTATTTTGAAAAGACACTGTATGCATGTAATAAACAGAAACTGACTCCCTGTCCAAAGTTGATGCAAGAGTGATGCCTAGAGCGTCGTAGTTTGAAGCGTAGGGCCACTGACTAAGCTTTGGTATTTGACGAGTTGATAACATGTTGCAACTGTAACTGCTGTGCATTACTGTTTATCACATTGTCTCTCTTGATAGAACCAGAATAATTTAGTATAAACAAGAGACTTTAAATATGTCCTGTTTCCTATGGCTGTCAACAGTATACCATCATGATACCATATATAAATATATGCTTTTTATGATTTGGATACTCTGAAACATTTAATATTAGAACAGAAAATAGACCTACTAAGCAATCAGAATAATTTAAGTTTTACAACTACATTCAGGAACAAAGACCACGCCTCAAACACATCACATTTTCTCAGGACAAAGGTATTGAAGCACAACTGATTCGTTCACTTCTCCTATGACTCAGTTTTCACATGACCTGTGACAGATGAGCAAAAATTAATAAAGCACGTAACGTACACCATGGATCAGGAGCTCTTTCTTAACTCTTCTGATAGTGGTCTGTTTGAAGAAGATCAGCAAAGTCCTGAAGTCCCGGAGACCTCTCCTTCTCCTACCATCCCTCTCTGTCAGAAACCTCAGTTGCATCCACATTCCCTGACACTATCGGCTTCATGCACATGCGTCCCTCCATCCCAGCATTCTTTGTCTTCTCTTGCTAACCTCGGCCGCCTTAGCTCTTCGTACCTCGATATCTGCTATCACAGCCCCACAGACTGCTCCCACGACACAGCGATAGAGGCTAAAACCCTAATTTACTCCTGTTTCCGGGGGATGGCCTGAAATATCTTTAACGACGTAGGATGCAAATTTTCAAGTTGCCGATTCATCAGTACCTGCCCCCATATTTAGAATCAGTCCAATCGGTGTAGCTATTAACAAATATTCCGAAAAAAGTTAAAGACATCTCATCCCCCCAAAAGCTGGACTTCCCCATGCAGTACAAAAAAATCGATCATGCCACATCCCTCATTCGCCTCGTAGGCCAAGGAGCCTGGTTTTTCAAGGCAAACATCACCAGAGCTTTGAGAGTCCTTCCCATCCACCCCGACCTAGTGGAATCTTTTCAGCGCACTCTGAAAGGGTGCATACTACTTCACTGTGCCTCTGACCTTAGGCCACCTTCTTCACACCCTGCATACCGTCTTCACACTCCGCATTCCATGAACTTGGAATTTCTCTTTCCTCAGAGAAAAATGAAGGTGGTCCTCAGCCTGGCACCCTGAGTTATCTTCCATCACTCCTTCCTCCATCATCTCCGAATGGTACCCAATCGTCATAGCAGCTGTTCTTTAGGGCTCACAAAGGGACAGCCCCCCAACCAGAGTCTCTACTCCCTCTGTTCCCTCCAGCCTCCAGATGAGACCAGTCCATCATCTAACTCCCCCATCCATCAGCACACAGCACTAATTTCTCTATTAATTCCCTCATCCTCCATCCCCCCATCCATCTACCCACAACCCTTCATTCCTTACCCCTCATCCCTTCATCCTCTCATCACTTCATCTTTCGACCCTCATCCCACGACCCCATCCCTTCGTTCCTAACCCTTAACCCTCCTACATCATTGTGGCTCCCCTTCATCTTCAATATGTAATAAACTATTTAAAACCTATTTTGTTATTGGCGTGGTCTTTGTAAATCAACCTCTTAATACAAAGTAATGCTTTAGTAGATGTCAGCATCTACTGGTGTGCTTTTTTATTTTAAAAAGTTATCAGATTGTACTAACAATATATGATGGTGGCTGTGAGCTTAATTTTAGTTAAGTTATTCAAAAAAGGTTAAATGAACTATGTTCTGTTACCTGTCAAAGCTAATAACAAGCAGGTTCATGACCGAGGCATTACTGGCCACATAGTCTATTGCAAGCCATAAGTCACAGACCACTGGCCCCAGAGCCCACTGGTCCATGATGATATAGGTGGTATACAGGTTCATTGACAGTGTGCCAATGGTAAGGTCAGCAAATGCTAGGCTCAGCAGGTAGTAGTTATTCACTGTCTTCAGTGCCTTGTTGATCTTGAATGACACCAACACTAGGATGTTGCCAACAACAGTGACAAGAGAAAGTGATCCAGTGAGGAACACAATTATGATGACCTGTCGATGAAGAGAGAAGGAGAGAAAGAACCAAAGAGGGTGGTTAAGTTACGGTGTTGACTTTCACACATTTCAAAAACAAACTAAATTTTCAGCTGACGAGGTCATGTCAGAGCACAACAACTCTGCTTTATTTGTACTTCACTGTATTAAATTATATAGTCAATGCCCTGAACAATTGGTAACATTCTGCTGCACTTTAATATGTTTTAAGCTATCCTTTTAGCTTTAGATTAATGGTACATGCTATCATTTCATGACTAACTGCCAGGAAGCACTCAAGAAGTAGTTTCAAATCAAGTGCTATTAAAGTTACTATGTCTCCTACAAGGTTCTGTTCTGAGTCATCATCTATTCACTGTTAATGTCATCAATATAAAGTCATTTTGCCCTCTCACACAAAATTTGTGTGCAGATAATACTTTCTTAAATGCCATAAATGCATCTCTTTATCTGGCCATTGTAAATCTACAATCAGTATTTAACCAGACTTAAGGAAGCACTTATATAAGAGACTCATGTCATTAATTAATTGAGACAAGTCTCATAACTTTCCATAGATGCAAAGTTTATCTTGGAACACAAACAATAAGTGAGTGGTTCAAATGAGCCATAAATTCCCTGGAGCTTTGGAGCAGCCATGTGAAGAGCACAGCTAAATGTTTGTCTGGCGGTTAGAATTCCTCGCTACTGAAGCCATGGAATTTACACAGTGAGACCACAAAACTACTCTGTCCTGGAGTGCTCTCTACCTGCAGTGTACACGTCTCATGTCTGCACATTTAGTTGTCAAAAATTATCATAGTAAGCCATATGAGGTATCACTCATTAACATTTATTCATTTAAACTTGTATATCCAATATTGCAGTGTCACCAAAGCAATAACTAAAACTACTGTTTGAAAAAAGAGGAAAAACTAAAATATCTGATTGTTACCTGCCAGATAGTATGTCCTCCTAATGGGTCAAAATCCTCTGCTGGCAGCATTAATGTCCTGTTAACTGGTGAATCAGTGAAATTTCCTCCTTGCCTTGAGATATGACTGACATTATGCTGCTTCCATCCACCAACACTGTCAGATAATATGGCCAACTCCTGGTAAGTGCCACCTGAACATGGGTAGAAACATCAGTTACATTTTATCAGAGATTTGGAGTCTACAAATACTATCCCCAAGAATCAGAAAGTTTTGCACACAAGTCTTCAAATCTTCTATCAGCAGATTTGAAAAAGCTTTTTCAACAACATTATCCCAGCAACACATCTTAAATCATAGAGAGCTTTTCAAGACCATTTGGGATTTTCTTTTCCTTTTATCTATTTCATTTTCTTAACCTCTGTTTTTTGTTATATTCACAATATCTACTTGACTTAATTGTTATAAAGAGACTAAGTTCTGTAGTGTTGTGCAGTACCGAAGATGGCAGGCTCAGCTATGATGGTGGTATCAGGCTGGTCTCTCATACCAGGAGAACTGTTGGTGAGGAAGTGGATAGAATCGGAGCTGGAGGTCAGGTTCATGATGACCAATGGACATCTTAAAGACAAGAAAAGAGAAAGGATTAAAAGAAATAGGGTTAATGAAGGATATAGCTGTTTAATTAAATTATTTAACATTTTTGCAAAAGATGTAAGGCATTAAAAATTATTTATTAATTTCAAAGATGAAGTTGATTGAATTAAGTTTTATTTTCATTCTACAAATCCATCACCAAATCGGCTTTCTTCCACCTGCAGAACATCTCCGGCCATCACTTCTTGACTCTGTTGCAGAGACCCTCCTCCATACATTTCTTACCTCTCAGCTGGATTACTGTAATGAATCCTAATCAGATTGCCCAATAAAAGTGTAAAAAATACACTTCCCTAAATAGCTTTCATCAAAGGTTATTGTCTTCCAGTGAATTATTACGGCAATGTAATCAGCAGATGGATTTAATTTAGCTTTTGAATATTTGCTAAAATAATATATCTATTGTCACACTATCATGTGGTTGGTCTGCTTTGCTTTCACACCACAGATGAACCACGTCAATTTGTTTAGTCAGCAACCAGGGTTTGGTCGAAAGCTTAAAGACAAGCCTGAATTAACCTCACCTAACCAGCAAACACCACAGATGTGATTTTAATTAAATCAGACAGATTAGCTGCCAAAATACCCTTAACATGTTTTGAACTGCATTTGGGCCTTTTAGATCTGTTACAGTTCCACACAATATACAGGACACATGTTGCACATTGTAATGTTCCTAAACCTTTTGGACATTTCATATTTGGTGCATCTGTCTTTATCTCTCAGAAGTTTTCCATATGTTCTTTTTCTGTGTTTTAAAATTCACAGAAATTGCCACTGATGCATTGTCGGCAACCAGTAGAGGCTCCTCTTTGTATCCTTGGTATGAGTCCCACTGTCCACACTGGCATCTCCCCAGTCTGTCTGGCTTATGCTTTGGCTGCCTCCAGCTGACACAGATGTTTTCATTTGTGTATTCTGTTCACTCACCAATGACGACAGTGGCTGTGTTCGTTTGTGCCGTGCACATGAACACAGCCGGGTATAGACAAACAAAAAGTAGTCGTAGCAATCTAATGGTTTTTGATTTAAAGATTAGTATTTCTTACTTTTGTTTAAATCAGTGGAGCACCATGGCTTTGTAGCTTCCCCTTGTTTAGCCATTTTCTTTCATGATGAAAATGATCTAACATGCTTATTGTTTTGAGTGCAATCCTCCGCTTCCATTGCATTGCTGATTCTGGCATAGATTAGCATAGCCTGTAAAGAATATATGACATTACTAATACAGGCTGTACTAATTAAAGCCAGAACCATCATATCTCCTCAGAACATGTCTTCAATCCACGCCTTGAGCTGTGATGTATGATGTTGGAGAAGAGAAAGGTTTGCTGAAGGGCTACATTCCCACACAAATAAAAGAGCACTCGTTAAACAATATAGAAGCCCACTGCTTCACTTAGAAGTGGTTCATATGTCGAGTATGAACTGAGCTCACAACCCCGCGTAGCTAGTTAGCCAGCTTGTATTTAACAGTATATTGTTTACATCTTGCAATAAATATTAATATGTTCTTGATCACTTTGTGTTGTGTGTATTTGCCTGTTCTGTTCAAAAACTGGGTTTTGAGGCACTGATGGCCTTTCAATGTCATTTATAAATGCTTTATAAGGCATAAATAGTCCTCACTTTAGATGAGGTCACACAAAATACTTTACTAACGAGTAGTAACTACCTTAATAAATCATGAATTAATCATGAATTGCAGTATTAATACGCGTTTATAAAGCATATCATAGTCCCTAATAATGATTTAGATAGTGCATATCTAAATCATTATATATATAAAAGCATGAATAATGTACATCTAAATACATTCTTAATCATTTACTAACACGTTATAAATGATCTTATTAATCATCTACAACTCCTTAATAATTGGTTTGTAAAATATATAATACTTCATTTACAAATGGGGAATCCATCATTTATAAAGTATGAAAACACAATCATGAAACACATAATAGACAAGCTTATTAATCAAGAATAAAACATTTATAACTGTTGTTATGAACTGCATACTAATGAATTATTAATGTAGGAACAATGCTTTATAAATGATGAATTAATTGTTTACTCATACTTAACTAATGCTTCATAGTGTGTAGTTATTATAGTGTTACCGAAGTCTCTCCTGAGTGAATTTGGGTGACCATGAAGATATACCTTCCCAAAGCGATGGGAGTCCAAACACCTTGTTAAGTTCAGCTCCAGCTAATAAGGGGCTTCAGCAGTCTGTTTACGAATGTACTTATTAAGTGGATATCTTCCAGAGTTAGTCGGTCTAGTTAGATTGTGTTTTTAGTATAAAATCCCCTCTTGTTTTGCTATTCCTCCACAAGACAGCACTCTGGGGAATCATACTGACAGAATTTTTGTAATAAAAAGACTTTGGAAGACAGGGTTAACCCAATTAACGTGTATAAACATTAGCTTTAACCGAACTTGAGAAGGCATTTTTGCACTGAAGAGGACTGTCGATTTTGTCCCCCCAAGAAAATAATACTTCAACGCTGCAAATTATAGCATTTCTTTTAAATTGATTACTTGACTAATTTCTGCATTAATGAAAAATAAAAAAAATAGCAACATAAACTGTTTGGAGATTGGATTATGGAGCGCTAGTTCACTTGGCTTATCATTTTAAGCCTTGTATGATATTCTCATAATGTTCTTAAAGCCTAATATCAGAAGCATAGGCTTAGATTTGTGATTGTCAATTTTCACTCTATATACGTGCTGGGATTTTTCACCATGAAATTTAGCACTATTCAACTATATCCCTGTATTTAGTCAACCCATTTCACCAACCAGTTCACTTAAACATCTTCGTAGAAAACATTTAGAATAGTCATGTTGTTTTTTCTCACTTTTAGTGTCATTTAGTCACAGCTGGTGATGCACCAGATATGACATCTTGTAGCTGTGTGTGAAGATTTTGGGAACTATCAGCTAAAGGTATTTTACAGAAAACTTTATCCACACAATGCTTTCAAATACAAACCAAATGTCAGTGCACAATTGTGCCCGTCGAACTCTTTAATATAAAAAATGAAGAAACCCAATTGGCTAAGTTTGAAATCACCTGCCAAAAAAGCTTGATTCAGTCGAGTCTAATGGCTGAGAGAATTATTACTCTATATGTTGTATCAATTGTGTTTTATACCTTTAAGTTGTAGAAACTCCTTTTTTACAAATAAATGTTATTTGTTTTGTACACGGAGAACAAAACGCTGGTTCAACCACACTCGCAATGGAAAGGGCAGAAAGAGACAAAGAACCCTTTGGGCAACAGTTGAACAAGAATAGAGGAAATCACCCGTCATTGGTCAAATAAACCACAAGCTTAGCATCAAAATGTGTACAGATTTAAATAGGAACAGCTTCCTCTTAAAGCATCCTTTAAAGCTGAAACGTGTTGCTTTACCAAAGCTCTTCTTCAAACTTGATATAAAAGATTATTCTAGGCTGCTCAATATACAATGGACTAACACATCACAGTTTAAACCTTTTCAATCTAACCACTGAGTAGACTACAGAGGGAATGTATATGCATCATTTATGAGACCAGATTTAATTTATTTTGCCTGATACATGTAACCATTATGAAATGTGAATTTTTATATATTCCCATTTGTTGGAACAATAGAGATTTAATACTATCATCAAAACGCTTTGCTTTTTTATGGTAATTTAGAGAATTTTAAAGGGATGAATGAAAAGATGGTTAATGGATTTCATGTGTTTTGTTTCTGTCTGTTTGACTGTATGACCATGTGTGCCCTGCTGCATTAATTATATTTAAGAATTCAAGAAAGCAAAAGCCAAATGGCGAGTTACTGTAACAAAATGCACTTACCAGTCCACTCTGGTTCCCAATATCCAATATGATATCCGAGCTGGGAAGCTCAGCTCTGCTCATGCAGCATGCTTCTCCCTGCTGTGGCCCAGACTGTTCAGTTGGTGTGTGACTGAAACCTCGAGCTCCGCCTTTGATAACTGCTTTGCTACTGTCATGGTAGAATCTCTCAGATCTGGGCAGTTACATGACAGAGGCAATTGTAAGATTAAGGTGGGCCGTCGGGGCTGAGACGAGCCTGGGTAGCCTGTGACTACTGTGTAATAATAATAATTACAGCTGGTCTTACAGTATATACATGTTTTAGCTCTGAGTAAAGAATTGCAACAAATATCAGTGACCACATCCATCATAAATTAGCTGCAATCATGTCTGTCCGTCCGTCCGTCCGATCTATCCAATGAATTCTTTTTAGAATTGATGATCTTTGACTGTACAAATTATTTTATGTATTGGTTGGCTTTGTGTCTGTCCTAGTTTCACTAACCAGTGCAGAAGATGAACATTCTTGCACTGCAACACACCAAGAGGGTTATTTTTAAACCATTTCAAGTGTGAAATCATTATGGGAATTCTGGCCCTGCTCCTAATCTCCAGTAAGACACAAAGTCTTGTGGAAATGATCATAGTCTGATCTTTGCAGATGTTTCCTTTTAGGATTAAACACTTCCAGCAGTAGAGACTTTTAATCTGAGGGTGCAGGTGGATGGGCTCTGAAAAAACCTCTCTGCAAGCATTGCAGGCATAATACTTTTATACGTATAATATATACATCGACCTACAGAATGTGAGACATTTTGATCAATGCAGAACATGTTTAGTTGTATTCTTTCATTGTACCATTTTGCCGTTGCCTCAGTACATTTTAAGCCACCCACTCCATCGGCCTCGTTCTTATTGATCGTATGTTTGTCAGTTTATTAAAAAGGCAAAAAGGATCAGACGCTATGTTTTGAAGCCATGTTCATTTAGCACTTGATATCAGGGGTTTTGTAAAGATGGAGTAATTGGATGGTTTAGAGATGGAGCCAAGCAAATGCTTGATGAATACTTCAGGAGCTCTCCTGACCAAACAAGGCCATATAATTGGCCACTCTCATACAGTGTGTTGAAAGAAGCCAATGGCAGAGCTCTCATGACCCCGAAACACACACACACACACACACACACAGAACAGAGAATAGAACGAGGAATGAAGTGAAGGTGAAGTGCCTGGATGAAGTCACCAGAAATACTGGATAAGTTTAATTACAAAGGTGTAACTACATACTCAATAAAAGGCATCCAAACATACCAGTCTGGTTGGAATTATGTAAGTAAAATGAAGTCCAAGTTATGTGCTGGCATAAAAACATGGAGCCTACATTACCATTGTGGTTTGTCTCAAGGCTAGTGGGGGTGGGAAACAGGGGACAAGTCAAATTTGTGTGGTATACTATGCCGAAAAAAGTAATGGTATAGCATGTCAAAAAATATCATACAAAGTTATAGGATATTTTATTCTATTTTAATCTATTGTTGTTTTTGGTTTAATCTGCTGTTTTTTCTTTTGAAAAGCACTTTGTAACCTTGTTAAGAAAAGTGCTCTAGAAATATGTTCCCCTTTGACATCAGAACAGAACTCAACACATTCTTCAGTCACAGACTGAACACTCATCTGTTCTGACTGGACCTTGGCTCATAAAATAATATATAGTAAAAATGTTCTTTCTCTGTGTCTTATTGTTGCTAATTGTAGCACGTGACGCAGTTTAGCATATTTACTGAAGTTGATGTACTTGCATGTTTCTTGTTTTCTTGGGGTTTGTAACCACTTGCTTGAATGCACCTTTTGGATAAAAGAGCCAGCTATGTAATGATACTAAATTTCTTCAAAATTTGCTTAAAGAACAAACTTACATTCTCAAAACTTTGATAAAAACGACACTTTACAAAGTAAGTTTACTTTACAATTGTGCATAAGACTTAAACATTTTAATAGTTCTTTAAGATAATATATTATCCAAATTTTCTATCCAAACTAATCATTCAGACTAAGTCTTACAAAAGAAGCTATAAAATACAGACGTCCAATTGATTTGAACAACTTGTATTAAACCAACACTGAATCACAAGTGCATTGTTACAGCATGAAATGAAGGGAATCGGTGCACTCAACAGAGATAAAAAAGATTTCTTTAGACTTTAAGATCAGGTGACTGTCTGTCAGGACCTTTGCAACCAAACTCACAGATGTAAATTCTTAGTATAAAAGATCATACATTTTTGGTTTTGAAAGATAAATAAATACAGTACA